CTGCCTTTCCTCTGCTACTTTTTAACCTGTGGGATAAAATACATGGGGATTGCTAATTGGCAAGCTGATTTTCAATGCAAAAATGGACCCTAAGGAAGAATTAACTATTCTTTCTCATCCTGATTGTCCCGCCAGAGTCACAACCTTCTGCACCTGCATTTCAGTGTGTGTGTGGGTGCGTGCGCGTGCGTGCGTGCACGGGCGCATATGCATGTGCATGTATGAAGAAGGATGAGGAGACACAGGTCACCTCCATCACACCTGGCTTGTTCCTAAGTAAATATTGCAAAATCTAATAGAGATGTCAGACTTGGTTAAGTCCTCTTCGATGTTGGCAGCTTATAAGCCTTTAGGCTTCGAGATGGGGCGGGAGTGTTGAGGCCTGGGGAGCAATGCCAACCAAACTGGGTATCAAGTGACATAATAGTATAAAATTTGTGGTGGGAGGGATACTTAGGGGGCCAGAGATGGTAGTTTGCCATGTTGTCAGGGCCTGGAAGACTTGCTAATGCAGGATGCAACAGATGGTGCCTGCAGTGGGTCCAGGAAGACTGTTGTTATGTGCACTGGCCTAGCAAGCGATATCCTCAAAGATCGACTGAGGTGAGTTGTGTTGATGAAAGATAGTTTTGAGAGCTGGTGGCAGGTGCGCTTGCAGTTGTGGCCCAGGGTCTTGCAGCAGATCTGCAAAGGAAGGGAAACTCACAACCCGTTGTCGTATTCCGCCGCCAGCTTCAATTTAAAGTCGTTCACACTTACATAAAGCAGGTAACTCTCCCCCACTAATGTCTGTTTGCCCCTCCACAAGCAACATGCAGTGTCCTGATCTGTTGCTTCCCCTTTCCTGGCAGTAGGGGAAGTGCACCAAACTTTTTTTTCTCCCTGTGGGTTGTTTGTGTTTAAAATACTTGATAGGCAAAGGCTGAAGATTAAGAACAGCAACAGGAATAAGTTAAGGTGTGGATAAGACATCCAGGGCAGAGATGGAGGATCAAGCGGAGGGGACCGCCCCCCCCCACACTATCTAAATGTATTAATTGTGCTGTGCTGTATCCCCTATTCGCTGCCTCTTTTCTCTTATTGTATTGGAGTGTGTGTGTGATGAGGGGATTAACTGTCAACATTATCGGAGAAAAGCCACTCACATTTCGTTAACCTCAAAAGTGTGGAAAGGGACATCCTCAGACTTCTCACCCACACAACACCGTGAGTGTGGCTTCCCCACAGCAGGAATATTTGCCACACTCACACTTCTTATCATGCTTTATGGCGAGCTCAGATGCATTGTGCTGTCCGCATTCCAGACCGGCTGCCTTAGGACATTGCAGCAGGCTTTCTCAACATAATCAGCAGGGGTCCCCCCATAATTTCAAATGTCTTATTCAGTAATAGGAAAATCCAGTACTTTCCGAGAAGTCTTTTGCATTGGGAGGGGTTGTTGCACTGCTTTCTTTTATCGTGCAACCATTGCAGCTAACATAAAGGGTGTGCTCTCCACAGGTGAGGTCCTGCGCACCCAAGAAGTGAGACACTTCATGGATCAAGTACTTGGCTGAGAATCTTTGGCAAGATTCTCTGGCACCTTCCAGAACAAGTCACACAAGCAAATGGTTTTTTGTCGCTTACATATATGTATGCATAAGCATCTTTTTGAGTAGTATCCTTCTTAAATGATACCTCTCTGAGGTGCATCTCTCTGTGCAATGAGGTTATTAACTAGAACTTGCATTGCGTGGTGTTCCATCCAGATCTTTTTTGTTTAATTTTATTTTAATAACAGTAAAGTTTGGAAAGACAATGGAAAAAAGAAAAAAAAGAAGAATACAAGTAAAAATTACAAAGAAACACCAAGGGTTCTTAAACAAATGTTACATAAAATGTCAAGTATTTTAAAAAATTGCAGTACATCAACAATTACTATCCTTTCTATTCAGTCACACTTTTTGCATGCAAAGTTCTTTGCAGATTCTTATAATCTCAAACTATTTTCTCAACAATTCTATTCCCTTTTAACCTATATTTTTCCATTGTTATTATCCTCGTTTAAAAGAAGTTGTGCATAATACAATTTCTACTTATCATTTTCTTTGGCTGATTATCTTCTTTAATGATTTGTTAATCTTATGTCTTCTACATAGTGAATTTACTTATTTTTCCAGTCTTCAATAATTAAATTTCTTCTGTTCTCCATTTTAAAGCACTTTTGACTCTAGCTGCAATTATCATATACTTAAGTAGCTCTATTCATCTTAAGTCAACTTACTATAACAAGAAAGCATCAGTACAAGAGTTAATCTCTAACAATATTTTCAAGAATTCTATTCCATTTATATCTCTCCTTGCTATAATAGTGAAGCATTAATTTAAAAGTTCATAAGTTCATAATATATATTTTTAAAATCCTCTCTGCTCATATGTAGAGTCTTCTATAAAGTTGTGCATAGCAGAGTTTCCACTGATCATCAAATTTTTTGGCTGGTTTTCTATTTATAGAATTAGTCAGTTTTGCCATTACTGCATGGTCTGCTAATTTGTTTCCCCAGTCCTCAGCAGCTGGGCTGTCTTCCGCTTTCCATGTTGAGTGTTTCATCCAGATCTGACAGTCCTGGAAGTACCAATTTCTTAGGTACCTTCATCAGCAGCTTGGCCTTTTTCTTCAGAGCATCTTATAGAATCTCCAGTGCTCCCTGACTTTGCTACTTCTGCAATTGTTGCCTCCTCCTTTTATCCATCATGTTCTGTACTTGCTTTAACGCAGTGCTGTTTATTTTCTTGCTTTGTGCAAACAAAAATGACTTCTAAACTTCTAACTTCCCAGATGCAAGCAAACTCAGCAATTAGCAAAATCACAGTTTGGTTTCAAACATATCCCATGGTTGAGGTTAAATTGTTTATCCAGACAGGGACTATAGTGGGTGTTCCTCTTTGGTCCTGCAGGGTCAAGTATGTTGCAACAGCATGAAGGGAGCAAGATAATGGAGATGAGAGGTATGGCCACAGTGACTGGGTGTGCACAATATGACACTCCATTGTGGGTTGCTACCCATCATAGGATGGCATCCTGCATGAACCTGGGCTGATTTCGCATGAGTGGCATGTTAAAGGGCAACACCTGTGCTGTCCTACAGGTAGGTTCAGGGAATCAGTTATGGAGCCACTTGGCAAGAATGGCGAAAAGCCTTTGCACACTTGCGGTGGAGCCCCAAGGGATGGCCGGTTCCAGCCATCCCCAGAGTATCCCAGCACTACTGCAAAGCAGCCTAGCACTCCCCCCCCCCCCCCGATTATAAGGCATTTTGGGCTCACCATCACTTTTCCCCTTTAAACTTTTTCTTCTTCTGGAAGATCACAAAAGCTGTCTGTCAAGCTGGCTTTTGCAATCTCTGTTTTGACAGCTATTAGGTGGGTCCTTCAAAGTGCCCCAGTGGCATGTTGGAGAAACTGCCCATGGGTCCCAAACTTTGTGTTGTAATTTAATTTTGTGCAAAAAATGTTGCACAACATTGTGCTTTGATTTTTTTAAAACTTTTTTTAAAAATTTGGGGCAGGTGTGAAACTGCGGTTGCCTGACTGTGGAGCTTTGAAACCTCAGCTGGGGGATCAGGCACTGCCAACAACATTGATCAGAAGAGGCTCCAAATTCCCCTTCCGCTGACAACTGTCAAAAGATGAGCTGTCAAAGGATTTCCTGTCTTTAGGGGAAGGGGAAAGTTGGAGATGCCTTCTGGTGGCTTGGTTTGGTGCCTGTTCGAGGGTTGTGTAGGTCCTGCCTTTGGCAAGACACCCTCCCTGGCCCCTCCTCCTTGTTGCCGTGTCACCTCCTGCTCCTGCTGGGCATCCTCTTCCTCACTGTTGAGAGGCAGATATCCGGCAGGCAGGCAGGCAGGCAGGAGCATCCACTGATCCTCCTTTTCACCCCCACGGTTGTCTGGACTGCAGTGACAGACAGGGGAACAAGGAAGCTGTGCTGGTGAAAAAGAGGAGTTCTTGTCAGTTGGCCCCCCCTGGCTTATGGGCCTCTTGCAGGCATCAATCCATGCCCACGGCTGACACGAGCCCTGGTTGGATCCAGATTCCCTCCGTGAGCAGAAAACCTGTTGCACAAGTGCTGCAACCTCGCCCCTCATTGTACCATGTTGTTTGGCTAAGACCCAGCTCCTGAACCAGCACATGGGCGCCAATGGGGGCTAGTCTCTCGTGCAGGATTTGCAACAGATTCCACCATGTGCTTTGCCCTCTATGTGTGCCTTTGCATCACAACCAGATTCCAACTTGTGGCCAATGGCTTCATGTTAGATTATGGGGCTACTTGTTATGGGGCTACAGAGAGCTGGGCTTGCAGCTCTCCTCCAAGCATTTAGAACAAGCCTGGTCTACCTTTATTGATGCGCTTGTACAAACCACTGGCTGCATATTCAGGCGGATCTGCAGTGTTACTCTTTCACGACAAGGAAGGAATATTGTTTGTTGCTGCCCCATCGTTTGTGGAACTTTGTGCAGAACTGCAGTGCTGACTGTAGCTCCTTCATGAGCACATAGCAGGACTGGCCAGCCCAAGACATGTGGCTGCCTGAGGGAAAGGGGAGCCCCATTCCCAAGTCGAGGTGTGTAGTACCCAAGGTTGGTCAAGTAGTTTTGGAACTTGAGAAAGAAAATTCCCAAAGCATCTCCTGTTTAGGGGTAAAAAGATGATGCTGATGATAATTGGAGAGAGCAATCTTATGGCACCTGGACATCATCAGAGAGGCCATGGACTGTTTGAATTTCCCTTCCGAGGTTGGAGACAGTGTTTCCCCCTTGGAAGCAGGAATTAGAGAGCCATATCCTGTCCCCCACGCTCTCACAGCGGGCATGGAAAGAAGGCTGACATCTCCGAATGACAGGGGTGTCTGCTTTAGCCGTGATGAAAACTCTTTGTGGCAGCAGAACCAGGAAGATCCCAAGGGATGGAGCTCCAAGCATTTACAGGACAGAATAACTGATGACACAACAGACACGTCTGGAGTTCTACTTGTGCCTCTTTATTGGGAGAAACTTGTACATTTGTAAAACAGCGACTCGCGCTTAGTAAAGTTACGGGATGATAAGCCCCTCCCAGGAAGATCCTTGGCTGGGCCCCAGCAAGAGCCCCACACGGCCCGAAGGGCTGCACCGCCAGGAATTGCACGTGTTTCCATCAGGCAGGCTGATGGACGTACTCCTCAACATCCTAGACCCTCAAGGGCAGCCCAAAGCCCAGATGTGCTTAGCTTTTGACAGTGATCTGCACAAGATCTTTGTGTTTTCCCGGGATGAGAGGGAGAACGTTTGCAGCGTATTTCCGTGAGGGCCTACTTCCTTTCTAAAGATGCACCCCCAGAAGCACAGGTGCACACATGGCAGTTCCTCGTTTTTTGGACTGTGCATGCCGGGGGCCCTCTGGTTTGCTACATGGGAGCAGTGGGCTGCAGCTGGGGCTCGGGGACATGCCCTTGCCCCACAAAGACAGTGCAAGGTGGTTGGATTGGCTTCTTCCTGCGGTGCCCCTCCACACAGCTGGTGGCTGCCACACCTTTCCGCCGGTGTGCTTTAGGAGGACCCATCCCTGACACTTGGAGGATTCAGCGTCCCTCCACCCCCTGCTCTGGACAAGTCTGCTATCAAGTGCTTTGGTCTATGGTCCGAGTCGAGGGAGTGGGGGAGCTCCTGTCCTCCCTTTGGTGTTGTGCAGGACCCCTGTGAATCTGAAGTCCCCTGCGCCGTCTCTTCTCCTGGGGGTGGGGTGGTTGCTTTTGGCTTGGGCCCTGAATGCTGTTGGAAGAGGAGGGCAGGGGGACAATCAGGGGAGGGAGCGGCTGTACAGCTGGGAAGTGGGTGCCCCAGGGGAACCTGGGCTCTCTGCTGCCAACAGCCCCCTGCTGTGTCTGTCTCGGCTTGGGCTGGGAGGAAACCTGAGATTTTGATGACTAGATCAGCCTTGCCAGCAGTTTTTGGCAATGCCAGCAGGGGGCAGTTGCAGCAATTGGGGACTGGATATCTGGCTAAAAACCACTGGCCCAAAACAGTTATGTACAAATATACAATTGTGTTTGTGGGAGGGTGAAAGTTGGCCAGCCATGGGGGGGGGGGGGACGGGGGAGGGCCAGTGCCCATATACTGAGGGAGCACATCCTGGTTCTCCCACGCAAGGGCAGGATTTATGGTGCTTAACCCTGTTGTGAGCGCAGTCCCAAGGTGGGCAGCAACAAGCAGGCAACAGGGCGCTGCTCAGCTGGAGTGAATGGGACCCAGAACCTCTTTTCTGCCCTGAGACACCCCTAATGGTAATAGCCTAGTGAGTCTGATGCAGGAGCGCAAGGATTGGGGAGTGGGTGGGTGTCAGTCAGGATGCTAATGCTGGACAGGACTGTACAAAGTGAAAGGTGTCGGAAGGAACATTTTGGCCACCGGGTGGAGTCTGTGGCCGAGGCAGACAAGGCCACATAGGGTTTCCAACAGCTGGCTGGCTGGTGCTACCCTATCGAACTTGGCTCTGGAACTGAGTGCAGCCTCTACCTTCCGAGGCAGCATCTTCGCTCCGGAGCATACTCCATGTTCCCCAGGGCGCTTCCTCCCACATGGATGCTCGGGATGGGCTGCCCCAGCCAAGCCTGCTTCCTGTCGGTGGAGCAGCTCGGAGGCCCTTCTGCCCACCGGATCTTGGCAACCGATGTGCTCTCTGTGCTTCTATAGGGGGAGGGGACACGGAGCCCTGGGGAGGAGGCTGGCTGGGCTGGGCAGCTGCGAGGACGATGGGCTACAGGAGGAAAGGGGCAAGAGGCCTTGAAGGCCTTCTGGGTGCCTCCAGAGGAGGGAGAGGGTGGCTGGGGCCTGGCCTTGGGACTTGGAAGGGCTGTTCGCACAGGGCAGGACCTGCCGTTCCCAAATCTGCTCCAGAAGTGCGGCCACCGCTGGGGATGGGAGCTGTGCCTGAGCTGGACTAGCAAGCGAAGTCTTCGAAGACCCCTTGGGGCGAGTAGTGGTGGCGGTGGTGATGGTTTGGCAGCAGGCCCGTGGGGTAGGTGCCTTCGGAGTGACGGCCCAGGGTCTCACAGGGGCTCTGCAGGAAAAGACACAGCACAGCAACCATTACAGCCCTTTCCACCAACATGGCCCCTACCCTGGAACTGGGCTCCCCGCAGCCTGCGCCAGCCAGTTGCGCCTTTCTGGAAACGGGACTTGCTACTCCAGCTTCCTTGGGAGAGAAGACGATGCCCCAGATCAACAGTTCTAGGCAACTTGCTTGTGACAAGAACGTGTCAGAGACACGGAGCCGCTGCAGCCTTCCCTGTGCCGCCCCATGGCACACTGTGCAGGGCCCCACCTCTGCCAGCCGGGGAAGTGAGGAGGGGTGGAGCAGTGCAGCCCCGGGGCATCGCATCACAGTGTGCTTGGCTGGTCAATGACCAAATAAAGAATTGACTGATTGATCACAGCGTGCAGCGGCATGCAAATCAGTCAAACAATCCCACACTGTTTCCATGGTGTGTGGAGTTTTGCCTGAACTTACTGGTCAAATCATGTGCTTACTAGGGCAGCTCCATTTTACTTATTTATTATTAGATTTGTATCCCACTTTTTCTCTTTTTTTCCAATGACCTGAAAGTGGCTTACATCATTCTCCTCCTCTTGCTCTTGATCTTATCCCCACAACAACAACCCTGTGAGGTAGGTTGGGCTGAGAGTCTGTGACTGACTCAACATCATCCAGTGAGCTACATGGCTGAACAGGGATTTGAACCCAGATCACCTGAGTCCCAGTCCTCTGCTCTTAACCACTACACCACACTGGCTCTCTTCCTAGCCTCACCACATATCCCAACAGCTTCTGCCAGTGAAATTCCCATCCTTTCCCTGTTCTTGGTTGTGGACCACAGCAGCCTCCCCCTGATTGGTCTGCTGTGATCCTGAGGCAGGCTCCCCCTTCCCACTCCCAAGTTTATCTGCATGTTGGTGGTGCTTCTCAGCTGCTCCAGCCCCTACAGAGATTTTTATTAAATGAAAATAGTTTTGCCATAATTCCCTACTTTCCCCTCTGTATTTTCACACTGTCTCCATTTCCAAAAGCAAGCAGGGAGATGGACACATTGCTCAGCCAATAGGAATAAAGCGAGTGATGATATGTGTGTTGCTAGGGGACTGAGGGCAGTAGAGCTCAAAAGTTAGGAATGGCCACTTCTGTGGCTGCTCTTGCCAGGGGACTCTATGGCTTCTATACCAACAAGAGTAAAATGGTCCAAAACAGGCATGTTGAAGCATGGGAACTTTAGAACAGACTGTTGATTCTTCCCATGGTTTCAGAAAAGTAATCCATGCAGGAACTCTAGAACTGGGAATGAATGACACAATAAAGCCACAAGGGTACGATCTCACCATGACTTCCTACGTCACGCAGACTGTCCCACTAGATCAGCAGTGGGGAACCTGTTGCTGACTAGATGTCATTGGATTCTAGCTCCTGTCAACCCAAGGCAGCACAAGCAAAGTCAGGGATGATGGGAGCTGTAGTTCAGAGCCACACCTTCCCATTTCTGAACTTGACGTTACAAGGAAGAGGAGTAAAGAAAAGACATGAAACTGCAGCAGCTCTGATTTTGTAACAACCAGTTATATAGAGGCAGAAAGAAACAGAAGCTGGTCAGACTGTGGTCCAAAGTGGTAAACAGGGGACCAGCATTTGTCTTTCTTAAATGGCAGCCCAGCTTTGCTCCCTAAGACAGGCCTTCTGTGTGCCCCAAGACCAACTGCCCCCCTCCCTTTTGGCCTAAACTGCCCTGATCTTAGAAATGCAATTTTCTCTGTCTCATACACCCACATGCACACACACAGAAATGGCTGCCACACTCCACCAAGCCAAATGAGATCAAGATTCTTAGAAAATTACACATGTGGATTTAAAACGGGTTAAGAAACTTCCATGAATGTGATGAAATGATAACCCCACAGGGCAAAGTTATACCGTGGCATGTTTCACATCAGTGAATTCAAAAAGGCCCTGTGGACTCAGAAACCATACTTAGGGGATAAATACTATTCAAAAAGAAAATTTATGAGTGAGATTAAAATGTCTGATCTCCTTCATTGTGGTCCAGACAGATGATACTTAGCTGAATAAGTATCAGTATAAGTATGGATAAGTATGAGCTGAATAAGGTTAGCGGGAATAATTCATGTTGATTATGTAGTAATTCCAATGTTAATAAAATTTGAGGTTTCCAGGCAGGAAACTTATTTTATATCATCAGTGTCAGGGGTCTTAATGTATCAGCACTTATAATATGGAGATCTCTGAGCTAGGTAGAGATGGCAATTCTTTACAGACCTGTAGGCGGTAGATGGGAATCTCATTCCCCAAATGATGCACATCCATACACTTCCTTGCTCAGTGGCTTGATTGTTTTCTTAATTTTTAAAGCAAATGAGAAATACATAGTATCCATCTATTTTGTGTCTCCACTATGATCACAAAGCCCTTTAAAAATGAAACACACAGGCAGGGTAAGACTACCTGTTCCCATACAACTCTATCCTGCCATTTTAAAGAACTTTTTCTTATTTTTAAACTCTGTTTTCCTTTGCATGATAGGTGAAAAGGAGTGAAATCGATTAGGCCAAATTTATAATCAGATTTTGTCAATGTTCCTACTCTATTTATTCGCATGAGACGGGCTGATGATCTGGTTGCAATTAAGAAGCAAGAAAAAGATTCTTGTTCTTTCCAGTGATATTTCAACTCCCCCACCCCCCTTTCTGGATGTTTTTGCACAATTACCAATCTGCCTTGGCTGGATCAGTGTTTGTTTTGGATTAAGGTGGAAGTTGCTCCCATGGCTCTTCAGAAATGTAAGATTGTGCACAACCTAAGGTGGGTTTACAAACAAGAAAAACAAGAGCATTTGCATGTTAAAGGCTCCCAGCATCCAATAACTGGCATTTTAAGCAGGGCATCCCAAGACACACTTAAAAAACACACGTACCTCTTGATGCCACCGCTGCTGTCAAAACTGCCCTGAGGAGAGGCAGGTGGGGAAGTGGAAGCAGCGGCAGCTGCTGCTTGTGACCTAAAGGGCTGTTGGAAGGGCTGTAGTTCACCAGTCAGTTGCAACGTGGAACCAGCAGATTGTAGCCGCACAGTGAAAAATGAAGCCTGTGACTTTGGCAGTACAGTACAATGGCAAGTAGAATAAGAACATAAGAGCCAAGTTGGAATTGTGATAGGATTGACCTTGTGCCTATCTAGTCCAGCAGTCTGGTCCCACAGTGGTCAGCCCATGGGAAGCCCGTGTGAAAGGTAAGAAGGAAACATTGGTAGTAAAAACCTCTTTAAAATAATCCTCAATGGGGCTCACTGATTAGATAATTTCAGGGCAGTCTCCAATATAGGCAGTTCCTGTGTTACAAACGCCTGAATAATGAACAACCCATACTTATGGATGAACTTCCATAAATGTAATTAATTTTTAAAATTTGTTGCGGAAAATTGTCATGACCACAGAGAGAAGAAGCGAAAGGGGAAAGTGGGGGGCCTCCAAAGCAGACCTTCCTGCCCCACGCATGTGGAGGGGGAAATTGCCCCGGCAGTTCCTTGCTGCAAAGAGGAGGAACTGGTGAGTTGCGGGGGGGGGGGAGGTGGGGGCTAGGGATAATATTTGTTGTTTTTCCACTTTCATCGGTGCTGATGGTTATGCTTTGCTTGTGCTTTAATGTACTGCTTTAATCAGTTTTAATTGGTTTGGTAAGCTGCCTTGTATGCCATATTTTGGTTGAAAGGTGGGACACTAAGTAACTAAATAACACCCTCCTGCCCATAGTTGCAGCAACTGGAGTTGAGAGACGTACGCCACTTATACTGGCTCATACCCATCATGGCTAATAACCACTGATAGATTTATTCTCCAGGAAACAGAAGCATGCTGATTTAGCTGTGGCAGTGCAAACCTCTAACTCCTCTGTCAGGACTGAAGCAGCTTGGTGATCCTTTGAGGGACACAAAGCGGCACAGTTAGGCAAGCATCCTCCACCCAGCGGCAAAGTGTGGGTCAACTAATATCTCAGACAGCCCATCTTTGCAAACAAACCAACTGCCCCCACCCCAAATTAGGGCTCCCTAGCACCCCAGGTCCAGGTCCAGAGGCTGCATGACCACTCTGATTGCCCGGGTGCTTGCCCTGGCCTGGAGGAGCTGCTCCTGGCTTGCACGAAGCCTGTGATGCCGCCCACCAGATGGCGCTGTGACGACACAGCTTATCAGCCATGCTGCCTGGGACTTATCTTGCAGGAGCTGTTTACGGCAGATAAGTGCTGATCTGAGGCATCTGTTTCACGTATCTAATCTGGAGGGTCCGCGGAGTAACATAAACCTGTCCTGCCTGATGTAATCTGCATCAATGTAGCGGCGACACAGCATAAAGGTCCGAAGCTCTCACCGCACAATAATTTTTGTCAGAAGTCTTCTCACCCACCCACAGTTAGAGCCTATAGAGATTCTTGGATATTGTTTTAACACTGTCCATGGAGGGAAATTGGAAAAGCAAAGCAAAATGCACAGCCAAAAAGAGGAACGGTTTAAATGGCAGGAGCTCCCCTACTGGCTCACCAAGCACAATAATTTCTGCTCCAAACGGGCAGCAGCTTTCCAGGGTCTCACACAAAGGGCTTTCTGAGCCACATTACCTGAGATTTTCAGCACCAACGTGGAAAATGTGCGTCCTGGGGTTGAATTAGGTAGGACCTACAATCTCATTTCATGCCATTGTACGAATCCACAAGAAGAAGTGAAAGCTGAGCTGCAAATGTACCATTACTGCAGGAGGGCCTTTTACAGAGACATGGAGAGGAGAGGGAGACGGGAAGCTGAAGTCACAGCCAGGTGCCCTTAGGGGCAGGCCAGCTGCTCCAGAACGGCCTATCTGTGGACCATGCATGGCAGCCATACAGAAGTGCTTGGCCAAAGGCACCTCATGGCAACACTGAACTGCGTGGAGTGGGCACAATGTGCACAGAGAAGTGAGCTCTCACACAAAAGACCTACCGCATGCCAGAAGGAAACTTTGAAAAGTG